TCAGAAGGAAGGTTGGTCGATCTACTTCCATAGTGATCCTGCCTTGGAAACCCAAGGAGGGGTCGCTATGAGTCAGGCACTACACAACAACAACATGTACGGAGAGTGCTGAGCCATCAGGACAGTCTGCATCCTGTGACTAGGAGATTCAAATGTCTAGTTATTCCCCAGAAGCCTGTCAAGATTGCCACATATCCCAAATGAGCCCCTTCATGAGGGTGGGGCTGAATCATCTGCTGAAGGAATTTTTCACTGACTTCCATTCTCAGAGACGTCAGGGCTCATGCTTACTGGTTGCAAGCTCTAAAACTTACAGGATTGTCCTATCCCTACATGCAGTATGGCCTGAAGGAACTTTAGGGTCAAGAGAGAGCAGCTTTTGGGCAAATTAGATGGAGTTAGTTTCTCTTTAGGGTTCTGTGAACCTCCCACCCTTCTAAGCACCTCTCTTGGGCACTATTCCTATAAGATCTTGCCCCCAGCTACCTGTACATTTTGAAGCAGGTGAGAAACAAACCCTGATAATTCATGTTTTTGACAGACTTAAGAATTTTATTATTTTAGCTCCATTCAGAATGAGCTAAATATGGCTCATGGTATTACATCTCTTAGAGATCGCTGCATTTTAATAGGGGATTCAGATGATTAAGAGAACTTCATTACCTAAAAGAATAAATTCCAAAGGAATTTCAGGCACTAGGCCAAATGGAGGGGGGATGGAAGGAGTTGTATAGCTCTTAATAATATACCTCCAATCATACCACACAGGGTCCAGCCTCTTTTCCCAAGTAAGCCTAAATCGTGCTAGAAAGGTTGGCTATAGGTGAGATAGATGTCCTAGATGAGTGTTCCCATGTCTTTTCAGTCAGCATCCTCTTAGTGGAACTGAAATGACTCCAAGAAAATCCTCAAGAGTAGTACCTAAATGACCTTCAAAAGATTAAAGTCGTATATCTTAAAAAGTCACATAGCTTTTTTTCTATTCCTTAATTTATCCATGGGAGCTCTGGTAGCATAGTGGCTAAGACACTTGCTTGCTAACCAGACGGCTGGCGGTTCAAACCCACCAGCCACTCCTCGGAAGGAAGGTTGGGCAATCCTACTTCCGTAGTGATACTGCCTCGGAAACCCAAGGAGGGGTCGCTATGAGTCGGGGCCGACTCCACGGCACATAACAACAACAACAACAACAACAATTTATCCATGTTTCTTTAAAAGTAATATGGCATATTGCTTAACATCCAGGAAAAAAAAAATCCCTCTGATGCCTACCTATTCATTCCAAACATATTTATCCAGTACCACTCTAGATCCTGGGACTATATCAATAATTAAGACTGTTAAAGTTCTTACCCTTTTGGGGGAGAGAGAAAATAAACCAGTGAACAAATAAATGGGATAATAGTGATATGTCCTGTGAAGGAAATAAAACATAGAGATGAGAAGGATAATTACTAAGGTGGAGGATGAGGGGATACTTTAGAAAAGGTAGTCAGGGACAGCCTCTGTGAAGGAAGTGACATAGAGTTAGACCAAATGAGACCCAAATGATGAAAAATCGATCATCTGAAGAGCCAGAGAAATTCTGAGCATCTCAGGCAGAGGGACTTGAGGAATTTTAATACAGAGAAATTGAAGCTGGAATGACCTTGGTGTGTGGAGGGAATATTAAGATGGTTAGCGCATAGTGAGGTTAGTATGATGATGCCAGTAAGGAAGCAGAAGGCAGGTGAGGCATGACTTGTAAATCAGGTTAGGAGTCTAGATATTATTCCAAGTGCAATGTGCAGTCATTGGAGGATTTTACACAGAGGAATGACATGATTTGATTTTATGTTTTAAAAATATCACTTTAGCTGTTGTGTGCAAATAGTCTGAAAAGTAGAGACAAAAGAACAGTTTGAAGGCTATTGTAGTATTCCTGGCTTTGACTCTGATAGTGGTAGAAATGTGTATGTTTTAGAGGTAGAACTAATAGGACTTGGTGATGGATTGGATGATGGAAGTGAAGGAAAAGCAAGAATTAGCAAAAATTCCCCTAGATTTACAGCCTGAAAATGCTAATAGTGAAACAGGAAAGAAACTGATCATTTTGTTTGGTTTTTGTATGTGGAAGTGGTAGGGCATTAAGAGATGACTCTCAGACATTTTAAGCTTGAGATCCAAGTAGAGAAATCAGGAAGGTAATTATAAGAGTCTGGAGCTCAGAGAGATACAGGAGATTAGATATAAATTTAGGAATATGTAACAAAGCTGTCCATAGGAGTAGATGAGATCACCTAGAAAAAGGGTTGAGATAGAAGAGAGTGGTGTAGAAAAGGGAGTGGGAGTGGAGAAAGGAGAGAAGAGAAGAAAAAAGGAGTCTAGGGACAAAACCTTGATAGTCTAACATTTAGAAGTTGTATAGAGAAGGAGTTAGGCAGGAAGTTTGAAAAGGAAGGTCTGTGAGGTAGAAAAGGAGTTCTAGTGGTATAGTGGTTAAGGTATTTGGCTGCTAACCAAAAGGTTGGTGGTTTGAACCCACCATGTGCTTTGTGGAAGAAAGATGAAGCAGTATGCTTCCGTAAAGATTACAGCCTTGGAAACCCAATGGGGGTTGCTATGAGTTGGAATTGATTCAATGGCAATGGGTTTTTTGTTTGTTATTTTATTTTTCTTAATGAGATAGGCAGCAAATCAAGAGAATTCAGTGCTATGGATGCCAAGAGAAAAATTATCTAGGCAGGAGGGGTAGGTCCAGTGACTACAGTAGTGCTTTGAAGTACAGTAAGATGAGGAAAAACAAGTGGCCAATGAATTTGTCAAAATGAAGGTCATTGACCACCTTGAAAATCGCAGTTTCATGAGGAAGGGGGCAGAAGCAAGATTGGAGTGGGTTAAAGAGAATGTGGGAGGTGAAGCTATGGGGACAATGAGTGCAGAACACTCTATTAAAAAGTTTTACCGTGAAAGAGTCCAGAGAAATGGGTTAGTTGCTTGTTCTTGTTGTTATGTGCTGTCCAGTCGAACCCGACATAGCGACCCCTCCTTGGGTTTCCAAGGTGGTATCACTACAGAAGTAGATTGCCCAACCTTCCTTCCAACATATCAGGGTAAAGAGAGAGTTTTTGGTTTTTTTCATGGGAGATATTAGAACATGTTTGAGTGGTTGATGAAATTAGTCCAGGAAAGAGAAAAACTGATGATGCAGGAGAGTGGAGTAACCAGAATGAAGTCTGAGAACAGATGGGGTGGGACCCAGTTTCCTAAGAGTTTATTGCCTTCAAAAATCTAATTTAAAAAGTAAAATTCATATTTTTTTCTTGAGAACATTTGTACAGTATCGTGATTATTATCCTGCAATGAAGATAGCAGACATTGAGTGTTACATTTTGTATTCCATAAAATATATCAAATCCTAATTCTGAGATTTTGAGTGTTATTGACAGACAGACAGATGGAAAGGAAGGAAGGAGGGATGGAAGGAAAGAAGGAGGGACGGAAGGAAGGAAGGATGGAAGAAAGGAAGGAAGGAGGGAAAGAAGGAAGGAAGGAAAGGAAGGAAGAAAACCATCTTAAGGAATTGAAACAAGATCATTAGATAAAATTGCTGAAGACTATACAAGAGTGATATGAGTTACAATTCTTCTTTCTAATATTCCTATCAGGCAATGCATTCGCTAGAGTTAAAATTGGAGATTACCATTATTATGGCTATGGGACGAAGAAAGACTATCAGACTGCAGCCACACATTACAGCATTGCAGCTGACAAATACCACAGTGCACAAGCCATGTTCAATCTGGCTTATATGTATGAACATGGCTTAGGTATTGAACAGGTAACTAAAGTGGTAGTAATACAAACCTTGTAATGACAACTGTGGAAAGGAAAATCTGTAGATGTTTTGGGTTTCATTAATGTCCACAATATAAAAGAAGTTAATGACTTAACATTTGCTTAATCCTTCCCATGTGCCAACACACATTATTTAACCCAACACTTATAGTTATTCTAATATCAACTCTATGAGGTATATATTATTATCTCCATTTATACCTGAGGACATAACTGGTAAGTAGAAGTCTAACCTTAGCTGACTTTATAAATTCACTCTTTTCTCCCCAATATTAGTGAAGCCTGCCCAATTCCTCTCTACCTCAAGACTTCTTACATTATATTTTCTCCACTGGCTCTGCTCTCAAGCTTTCAGTAACAAGAAGAAAGTGGAATGAGCAGAACTGAATATGGTGGTAACATTAATCTAGAAGCATCTTACAAAGCACCCAATGTGTACATGACACAGTGCTCAGCATGCTGAAAATTGTCAGAAAATGTATCTCCATCCTCCAAAGACTACATTGGTTTGAGGAGATGAGGTATACTCATTAAGAAAGTGAGTTAACAATACAAGGTTGTATTGTGTAAATCCTTTACACCAAGCCCACTGCCATCAAGTGGATTCTGACTCATAGTGACCCCCACTGGGTTTCCAAGACTGTAAATCTTTGTGGAAGTAGATTGCCTCATCTTCCTCCTGCAGAGCAGCTGGTGGGTTTGAACCACTGACCTCTAGTTAACGGCCAAATACATTACCCACTACACCACCAGAGCTCCTTTAAATCCCCTAGACAGTGTGTAAAATTAAAACAGAAGAGAGCATTGAGATCTGACATGGTGAGAAAGGTGTGTTATATATCAATAATAATAATAGATGGTGTTGGGTTAGCTGTGTTATATGTACTATGTCTTTTAAATCACACAATCACCCAATGAGGTAAGTCCTGTTATAATCCTCCCGTATCAAGAAACCACAAACGTTTTTTTTAATTGTGATACGGGTGAAAGTTTAGAGAGCAAATTCATTTTCCATACAGCAGTTCATATACATTTTGTTTCATGACACTGATTGTAATCTCCATAATGTAACAACTGGCCAAAAGCTTTTTATTCAAATACCTATTAACCAGTGATAGAGTTTTACACCATCTTTTCTTCTTGTGCTGCCTGACTTTTCATCAGCTTTGGCACCTTAACTGGTGGAAAGAATGTCAATCCAAATCCTGCCTGCTTCTTCCATTTTGTTGTTGTTGTTACTAGGTGCTGTCAAGTCATCTCCAACTCATAGCAATCCTGTGTACAGCAGAATGAAACACTGCCCGGTCCTGTGCAGCCTCATGATCTTTGCTACACCTAAGCCCATCAGTGCACCCACTATGTCAATCTACCTTGTTGAGGGCCTTCCCCTTTTTCACTGCCCTCCACTTTTTGCTTTTCACCAAGCATGATATCCTTCTCCAGGGAATGGTCCCTTCCGACATGACCAAAGTAGGTGAGACAAAGTCTGGCCATTCCAAGGAACATTCAGGCTGCACTTCTTCCAGGACAGATTTATTAGTTCTTTTAGCAGTCCTGGGTACTTTCAGTATTCTTCGCCAGCACCACAACTCAAAAGCATCAGCTCTTCTTCAGTATTCCTTGTTCATTGTCCAGCTCTCACATGCATATGAGGCCATTGAAAATACTGTGGTTTGGGTTAGGTACACCTTAGTCTTCAAGGAGAAATCTTTGCTCTTCAGCATTTTAAACAGGTCTTTTGCAGCAGATTTGCCTAATGCAATATATTGTCTTATGTCTTGATTGCTGATGCATTGGTGTTCGTTAGAACCAAGTAATAAGAAGTCTTTAACAACTTCAATCTTTTCTTCATTTATTGTGATGCTGCTTATTGGTCCATTTGTGAGGATTTTTGTTCTTTATATTGAGATGTAATCTATACTGCAGACTGTATTCTTCAGTCTTCATCAGTAAGTGCTTCCAGTCATCCTCACCTTCAGCAAGCAAAGTTGTGTCATCAATAGATGAACATTGACCAATTCTTTTTGGTACAGTGACTCTGTACATTCCTTCCATCTTCTTTCAATATTTCCTGAATCATTCAATATATTGCCCATAGAATCTTTCAGTATTGCAACTTGAGGCTTAAATTTTTTCCTCAGTTCTTTCAGCTTGAGAAATGTCGAGTGTTGTGATAGTTAAGTTTGTGTGTCAATTTGGCTGGGTATGGTTGAGTGACTGGGCAGCTGGATGTAGTATTCCCCACGATGAGACTGGTAATCAACTCCATGGCAGAATCTACTGTGAGCAGCTGAGTAGCTGCTTTGGGTATGTGGTCTGCTTCTCATATATAAGAAACAGCTTTGGTAACAGTCTCTAGCTATGGCACACTTTAACCCTGCATGTAGCTGTGTTGTTGTTTAACACCTGCCATGCTCTGCCAACCATGGGACTTTCAGTGGATTTGAGTTAATGGCCTGCTGTGTGGTTTGGTACATTGGGACTGTGCCTTTTTATTTCTCAACTTTGGGCTTGTCAATTTCAGCAGCCAGCAGCTGTCTGAGTGAAGAAAAGCCTCTAGCTCCAGTGGGCCAGGAGCAGGAGGCAGAGCTGAAGCCCCAAGTTGAGGGGCTTTCACCCAGCCCGTAGAGCCTGGCATTTTGAACTTGGACTTAAAGCCTCCAGACTCTAAGAGAATAAACTCCTGTTTGTTAAGGCCATCCCATTTGTGGTATATTCCTGTCAGAGTGGCACTAGGTAACCAAAACAAGTATGCTCTTCCCTTTTGGTTTTCTAACTCCAGGTCTTTACACATTTCATTTTAATAATTGACTTTGTCTTCTCAAGATGCTCTTTGAAATCTTCTGTTCAGCTCTTTTATCCTGTGGATTCTTCCATTTGCTTTAGCTACTCTCCATTCAAGGGCAAGTTTCAGAGTCTCTTCTGACATCCATTATGGTCTTTTCTTCCTTTCCTGTCTTTTTAATGACATTTTGTTTTCTTCATGGATGATGTTCTTTATTTCATCCTGCAATTCCTCTGGGTTTGGTCATTGGTGTTCAGTGCATCAAATCTATTATTATTTGTTGTTGTTGTTACGTGCTGTCAAGTCAGACCCAACTCATAGCGACCCCTCCTTGGGTTTCCAAGGCAGTATCACTACAGAAGTAGATTGCCCAACCTTCCTTCCAAGGAGTGGCTAGTGGGTTTGAACCACCAGCCTTCTGGTTAGCAGTCAAGTGCCTTAGGCACTATACCACCAGAGCTCCCATATATTCTTTAGATGGTCTCTAAATTCAGGAGGGATATAATGAAGGTCATATTTTGGTGCTGGTGGACTTGTTTTAATTGTCTTCAACTTCAACTTGAACATGTATATGAGCATTTGATGGTCTGTTCCACAATAAGCTCCTGGCCTGGTTTTGGCTGAAGATATTGAGCTTCTCCATGGCCTGTTGCCACAGATGTAGTCAATCTGATTCCTGTGTACTCCATCTGGTGAAGTCCACATGTATAACCTCTGTTTATGTTGTTGGAAAATGTATTTACAATGAATAAGTTGTTGGTCTTGCAAAATTCTATTGTGCAATCTCCAGCATTATTTCTATAATCAAGACCATACTTTCCAAATACTGGTGATTCTTCTTTGTTTCCAACGTTTGCATTCCAATCACCAGTTATAATCAACACATCTTGATTGCACATTTGGTCAATTTCAGACTGCAGAAGTTGGTAAAAATCTTCAATTTCCTCATCTTTGGCTTTAGTGGCTGGTGCGTAAATTTGAATGATAGTAGTATTAACTGGTCTTCTTTGTAAGTGTATGGATATTGTATTATCACTGACAGCATTGTACTCCAGGATCGATCTTGATACATTCTTTGTGATGATGAATGCCATGCTATTCCTCTTCAAATTGTCATTCCTGCCATAGTAGATCATATGATTGTCTGATTTAAAATGGCCAAAACCAGTCCATTTCAGCTCACTAATGCCTAGGATACCTATCTTTATGTATTCCATTTCATTTTTGACAACTTCCAATTTTCTTCTCTTCTGATTATTAATGGATGTTTACAGTTGTTTCTTCTCATCCTGAGTCATGCCACATCAGCAAATGGAGGTTTTGAAACTTTACTCTATCCACAACATTAAGGTCAGCTCTACTCTGAAGAGGCAGCTCTTTCCCAGTAGTATTTTGAGTGCCTTCCAACCTGAGGGGCTCATCTTCTGGCACTATATAGGACAATGTTTCAGGGCTATTCATAAAGTTTTCCAGTAATATATCAGACAGTGTTTCACTGGTATTCATAAGGTTTTCACTGGCCAATTATTTGAGAAATGAATGGCCTCTTCCTTCTTCTGAGTCTGTCTTAGCAACCACCACAATATGAAAATCTGAAAGACAAGTTCATCTCTCTTAGTTGTTCCAAACTGCTCCACTCACTTCCTGGTCTCTCTCAGCAGCTCCAAACTTGCTGCCCCAGCTCACTTCCTTCCTGGGCCCCTCAGGTCACGCCAAACTGCTGCATTGCTTTGCTTCCTTCCTGGCCCCCTCATTCTTAGCAGGTATGAACTTTTGGTTTGGAAAATTTTGTGGGGAATGGACTGGAGCGAAAAGCTAAATTGAATGATTTTTTGCATATCATCTAGTCATATCCTCAGCTGTCATCTATATATCTAAAGCAGAACTAATGGTACCTGCCCTTCCCAGCTTTTAGGATAAAATGAATCCATATTTGTGAATGGGCTTAGTCATCAAACAATGTGCAGTATGCCTGTTACTTAGATCAGAAGGGAATTTGAGAGGCTGCTAAGTAAGGCTTCAATAAAATTAAAGCTTTTAGTCATCATTCCCCATGACAATAATGTGAGAAGAATATTGCATGAAGGCTAAAAGAGACCCCACTCCTTGTGTTAAATTCTAGTTAGCTTTCTTGTGTGATTCAAGAAGAACTTGGTACCTACACAGCCGCATTTTCTCCACCATTAGGCGATTTTGCT